AAAATTCTGATTGCTTGAAGGTATGTGAGCACGAGCGAGTCTTACTTGTTCTGCAGAGCCTTGTCAAGTTTTGACTGGTGTGCTTCTGTGTTGGGATTCTTGCCTGGTTCTCAGAGCAGCATACACTCAGAGGAGGAGAGGATTTTCTTCTTGTTTTATGTCAAGTGACTGCTTGGCAAGGCTTTGATTTTTGCTGTTATTTCTTCTGTGGGGAAATATGACCCATATTAAGTGCATTTTGTTTAGTATGCCCAGGACCTATAATTTCAGAAATCTTCTCCACGTTTTTTAAACTTAAAGAGAAAAACACAATAATTTTTGCTTTTTATCATAAGGATGCTAGTGCTAGGGGAGGTCCTCAGTTCTTCTACCTGGGAGTGAACAATGGTAGTTGGTAAGCAAAGCAGGTTTTTCTGTATTAATTCAGCCATTGCAATCATGTGAATGCATTGGAGGAGAAACTGCAATTAAATTTGCTATCAGTCACACCCATCAAGTGTGCTTAATGTTTCATCAAACTTTTTTTTGTGTCAGCCCTATAATTCAGTGTTCTTTGGTTGAAGGTGTGGCTGAAAAAAACCATAAAAGACTGTAAACTGCAGTATAGAAATGCTTGCTTGTATTTAAAAATATTTTTAAACCGTAAATGTATGTTGGAAGTTTCTCCCTCTTCCCCCTTGCCAAATTACTTTTTCAGGCAGTATCTAAAGGCAGAAAGTCCTTTTTTAAAAAAAAAAAATTCTTTTTTTTTAAGTGTCGGATAAGATTTATGTGCAAGAGAATTGAGAGCTATATTAAAGACTGTGTTACTATCCATCATTTTTAAAGTGGTGTGAAGAAAAATAACACTGTGTGTATGTGTGGCTAGATTTGCAAAATTGTTAAAGGAGCCAAATTCAAGTGTAGTGCATAATGCCAGGGATGACTATTCAGAGTTACTTCCCGCCCTCCTCGTTCTTGGTCATCGGTCAGTAGTGAGCAAAGATCTGTCGCTGTCTGACAGGTATTCACTGGCTTATGTTAATAAATATTTATAAGTATTTTTGTCAGTAGTTTCAGATGCTTGTCTATGGCTAAAAGTAAGGGTCTCTTCCAACTTCTATCCCAAAAATGTTGTTGCAAATTTTAACAAAATCTAAGAGGAAAAGAGTGAGGTCTGTGATTCCATCCCATCAAATCTTTCACTCTCTGGTCTGTTCTGATTTATGGTGCTTTTTTTCCTCTATGTAATAAAGGTACGCACATCCCACTTGGCACTCTCACATCAATCTTTTTCACCTTTCATCCTGCCTTCTGGTGGGATTGTTGTCAATAGCTGCACTTGCTTTTTGTCAGAGGAAAAAAGTATGTGGGGACAGTTTCTTATGACTATGAGGGTTTGGGCTGTCCTCAAATCATACATGCATGCTTCCCTGTGACAGATGGGCATAAAACAAATAGCTTGTCGTTCTGCAGAGGCTCAAGAATACGCACCAGAAACTGAATGTCACCAGAGGTGGACAGAGCTCCGGAAAGATTGTCTTGTATTGGGCAGTCAGAGGCTTGAATGAAGCACTCTCTGTTATTTAGTATTACAAATAGTTGCATTGAGAGAGGGTAGGAGAAATGAAGAGTTTCCACTGCTGTGTGTTGTTGCTGAGGCAAGACAAGATGAGGCAGCAGAAAGGTATAGACCTCTGCGTCTTTCCCTCCTGTTACCCATGGCTCAGAAATCTTTCCTCATCAGTACTTTGGAGTTAATTTTGAATAGTGTGAGTGAAGGAAGTAAAGACTCTGGCAGTTACAGAAGCCTTTTTAAGGCTTCACCTAGAATCAAAAGAAACTGTCGAAGAAATTGAGTCTAGAGAAGCTGAATTTGGCTAATTTTCAGAGTTGTTCTGTGTTGCACAGGTAAATGATATGAGCTTTATTGTCTGCTGAAGTAACTTGTCTTGAATTTCTAAGTGAATTCTCTGTTCTGTGAATATTGAAAAGAAGTTGCCAGGTGGGAAAATGAATCTCCTTTCTCCCTGCATAGATTTGTCCCCTTTCCTCAAAAACTACATGCTTACAGGTTCACAAAGCCAGTCCTCCATTGTTAGTTTTATCATCTTTCAACCATATGGTATGTTTTCTTATATATGCCAAAGAAATGGTACCAAGTCCAGGTGTCGTTCAACATATCCTCTTGGCTAGCTCTCTTTAAGCCCAGTAGAGCACTTTGGACAATCAAATGTTTCTCCTTCTATCCACGTTTAACCGAGAGCTTTAATGAGGTCTTGCCAAAAACCTTTAAAACTGGGAACAATCTAAATTATATGTTGTATGGAACCTCTAAGCCAGGGAAATGAATAATTGCTGGAGACTACTTCTGTGACATAGCTTGGTTGTTTTAGTTTAACAGAAGTATAATAGAAGCTTTGCATTAAGGAGCAAGTCTATACTTAGCTCGTTGTAATGCTCTTAGCATGCTTAAATGAGACTGGTTTATTTTGGTGTCTAAAATTCTTCATTTAAAGTTTCTTCCAAAATCCCTGCCTCAAGTATAAAGGTTTTTTGTCATGTTAAGTCATTTATATGACTGACAAATAAAATTCAGCATAGAATTGCAATCTCAGAGAAATGATTTTAAAGGAAATAAATCTGAGGAGGAAGATTTAGTATAGGCATGGTAATGCCTTTCCTGCAGTTACTGGGAGCTGGGTTTTGACTACAGACTGCTAGAATCCTGGTGCTGTGGCTGTAAACACTGATTAGTGAGATTGAGTTCTTCCCAGGGGCTGAAATTACATGTGCTATTGCAGCGTTAGGAGTTGTTCATCGTAAAAAGGGACTTTATAAATAGAAGTGTTTCAGAGAGGTTTGTGCAAATCATGTTCCTTTTAACTAACTCTGTCTGGTGGTTGGATGGCCTTTATTGAAAGTCAGCTTTCTTAAAAAAAAAAAAAAAATTGCATCTGAGCAGTAGCCATAGATACTTCAGTTTAAATACAATTTCCTACAAACATGGGTTCTTTGTTTTCTTTCTTCTAAACAGCCATTAAGTACCTCTCAAAACCATTGATTCAATGTGTTCTGAAGCTCCTTGATTCATTCAATATGTGAATGACTATTACACATTTGTTTAATGCATAGAAAAAAAAATCGTTCTACCAAAGAATACTTGAGGAACCTTTTGCATTGCTTGAATGGTTGCTGTCTTGAAAACAAAGACAGCTTAATTTTGGCCCTACAATTGGCTATTTATGTTTTTTACTATCACACTTTTTTACCAAATCATTTATTTGCAGTCCTTAGGTTTATCAGTAGTTTAAAAAAATGCTTTAATCTCTTCCAAAACTGTGGGAAATGTACTTTACTTTCTGAGAACTCTGAAAACCTATGATCTTAGAGCACCAGAAGTACAGAAGCTGTAATAGTGAATCAAGCTTGTTGTTCATCAAGTAGGATATATCAGTTTCTCATGTTATTTTTCCTGTTTAAAAGTTTGAAGCTATTGCTGTTTTAGACCCATTGGAGTTTGGAGCCAGCTTCTTCATACAGTAGTGTACAAAAGTTCCAATTAATTGTAGTTTACTAGTCAAATCATGCAAATAGTCAGATGCATGCGTAGCTATATTCATGTTAATAGGTCTCTTAAATATGAAACTGAATGTGTGGAAATAGCAGTTGTTCGTAAACAAGGGGAAAGCTTGCAGGAATGGCTATCAGATGCATTGTTGGTTTGATAGTGTTTGAGTTTTAAAGATAAAACTCACAAAAATCTCCTGTGAGACGTCAAGTGGTAGTGAGAATGACTGGGTAAAAGAGCAGGACTGAAAGAGAGAGAGATCAAAATAGAGAAATGGGGGAGTTGAAAGAGAATCACAGCAAGTAGGGAAACTAAAACTGAACCTGAAATACCAAGAGAGAAGTAGAAACAGTCAGTTGATGCATTGGCCTCAAACCCAGGGAGTACATGTAAAGGTAGCTTAGAAATACTGACTCATGGGGCTTTACCAAGTCATGCTTAGAAGATCTGAAAATGCTTTTTTCATTTCTCTTTATACTCTTCTGCTTTATGGCAATGGATGACACACCTAGCTGTCCACAGGCAATGTCTTGAAAGACTGCACATCAACCACTATGCTTGTAACTGTCTTAGAAGAGATGTCATTGGTAGGCTTTTCCTGTGCTGGGTCAATGTTTGTGCATTCATGAGATATTTTTAGGGTAAAAATATAATAAATTTATCTGTAGTATTTTCTTATTTTCAGATACTGTAGATAGGAAAGGAAGAGATTGCATTAATTTTTTCATTATTGACCAAGCTGATGGAATTTAATTGTAAAATTGCAGAATAGACTGCTTGCCCTGCTAACTTAGTAGATTAATATGAATGGTAATATTTCACCTGGATTATTTGGAGGTGGTGGGAGTGTTTGTTTTTAATCTCTAGCTTTCACCTCTGTTTTTCTAGAAGTCTGCATACTAACTAACAGCACAAGTCAGGTCACGTTTGAAGTTTTGTGCAATGCAATATCCATGGTGCTGCTCTGTATAGGGGCGGGGACTCTGGCTGGCATCCTCTTTACTGGCTAGGAATCCACTCAAAACACTACTAGGGAATATAATTATATAATAATTATTTCTCAGCTGTGCTTTTTGTCTAATTATATGCAAGTTTAAAACTATTATTTTGGCAACTTTGTACAAATATTGTCAAAGTACTCTGCATTTTGCTCTTCCCACCAGCCAAGGTACCAGAACTACCATGGATGTTTTCATTTTGTCTTGTTTGGGGTTTGTGTGCTGTTCTGGGAGTATACACACATGCTGTATATATTTACTACTATTAAAGATAAAGGAACCCCAGTGACATTTTTTTTATCTCTCTAATGAAGCATGAAGTCTGGGTACCAACAACAATAAAAATAAAGATTGTTGACAGATAAGGAGTAAGTCTAGGGTTTCTTTTCAATCAACACTTACACTTCTCTCCATAGGCACTAACTTTGGACTGATATTTACTCCTTTTCTAGGCAAATCTTGCTCAACTACTGAGTGAGGCTCAAGATCAAAATAAGCATCTTGGAGAAGAGATTAGAGAGCTTCAACAGAGACTGGGAGAAGTACAAGGGGACAATAAGGTATTATAAACTTTTGTTATCAGTAAATGCCATGGAACATGTAAACTGGGCTGGAATTTTGCATTTACTTCTTAGGAAAACAAATAAAACAATGGATTACAGAACTTCTAGAATACTTTGATTACAATAAATGCTCAAACAGTAGAACAAAAGAAGCTTGTACAAGATACCAGTAAGTGCAGCTTATTATATAATTTTCTATGTTGCTTTTGGTCTGTTGTCTTTAATAATGCATTTTGCAGCTAGCCTTGCTTTAACAATCTCAGACCTTCCCTCCCTTCCCTCCTTTTCCTCTTACAAATAAGTACGGATAAGCATGTCTTCTTCATCATGTGATAATTTTCTTTTTTTTTTTCAATGAAAAAGCAAAATTTTAGTAGATGATAAAACCAAGGAGGTATAATTTTTCTCTTCCAAAATATGGAGCAGTTGATCACAAATATATATATAGTGAACTTTGTATTATCCCTCATCCTATTACCCTTACATAACCAATTTATTTTATTGCTAAATTTAGCAAGTTATATGGAACATTGCTCAAAATCTGCCATTTGGTATTAATCAAACTCCTGTTGTCTCTGTTAATTGAAATATTTAAACTCAAGCCAAATGTGTGTAACATTCACAGCTGGAGCTGTATGCAAAAGTACATTCAGAGATCAAACTAGTGAGAGGTTGAATTTGAGAGTCGAGGTGGTTAACGAAGTAAAAAATGAAACAAATAATGAATTATAACTTCTCTCCCTCAACTACAGTTTTAAAGTTACAGGATTTAAAAATGTGAATAAAAATTATGTGGCTTCTAATTATTCAGGTTTTTATCTTTCTTTTTATTTTTATCTTTCTTTTATCTTTTTATTTTTATCTTTCCATTTAAATTAATTTTATTTTATTTATTCTATTTTAAACCTAAGTTTGTTGTGATAATGCAGTTTTATTCGTTCATTTTTTATCACAAAGGACTTCCTTGAAGGTATGCAGGGAGCTGGGAGAGGGTCAAGTGAGACCTGAATTTGTAGTATGCATACCATTCAGTGTAACTTGCTCGGGTCTTCAAAGACCAGCTTTCCCAGTGTTTCTTTTCATTTGCATGATATTGTTTGAACTATATTACAGTATAGAAGACAGTTCCTTGCAGTTTTCCAGTACCGATGTTATGCCATACAGCCTTTTCCCAGCCAGTCCTGAACAGATTGCAAGGGTTCATAAATGCAACGGAACACAAAAGTAGTAAAACTACAACATATTTAAATATCAAGGTTATGTACTTATTCTAATTCCTTATACCAGTATGAACTTGGTAACACAGAGCCGCCTACTTTGTGCTTGAACTGGCTTTGTTTGGATTTGCCTAGCGGGTTAACTTGATATTAGCTGGTCATCTTTGTGACATCTGTATTCTCAGCATGAATTTAAATTCGTGATCCTAATAATGAATGAAAAAATACAAAAGGAGTTGTTCTGCCCACCGTGCCCCTCTCCAAAAGGTGCAAAATAGTGCATCACTAAATAAAGAGGGAGAAGAAAGAACTATCAGACAGGGATTAATTTAGACTAGGATTATCGTTTTTTGAACACATTCTTCACTTTCCTAGTAAATGAGAAATAGAGCTTATTTTAGAGTCAGGTTGCTGGTTTTTTGAAGTGCCTAAAAAAGCATCGCCATCTCTCTGAGGGATTTAACACTCTCCTCCTGTGTCAGATTTTGCTCCCTCCTAGTTTTGGTGATAAAATTCCAGGCTTGTTCCCTAAGCCATTCTGTTCTGCTCGTCAGTTCTCCTGTGCTGGCAGCTGGGTTACTTCAGGCACTGGAGTCCAGATAATGTATGGTATATACAAAAACAAAGAACTATAATAATTTGCTTGTTCTTACATTTTTCCCCTGCATTATTCTCTCTGCCTTTTCCAAAGTGAGGGAGGGCATCCTGCCCAGCTGGTCTACGTCAACCTTACTTCTGGCAAGAGATGAACAAACAGCTGCTTTTGCAGCAAGTGAAGCTGCTTATGGATGAACAATTCTGCCTGTGTCTGAGCAGGGGTGACTCATGCAGGCTTTGTCACTGAGTGGCAAGAGCTTTGTAGGACTAAAAAAGAAAAAAACTCTTTAAATATCACACATTAGCTCTATTGATAAAGAATTGTTTTGATAGCTTGACTTGTTTTTCGCTGCTTTAATGTTTGCTACTGGTAGGATACAGTCACTTGGATTAGCAAGAAGACCTTAAACTGGTGACATTTTTACTTGTTGAAATCATGTTAAGTACATCATCAGTTGGGCAATAACAAATTACTTGCATTTGGTTTAACTGGGCTAATTTTTTCCTTTAATTTCAGCTAGAATTCTGTTTGCGCAAATAATAAAACTTCTTCAGGCAGTTTCTGGAAGGATTTGTTGCTGCAGTTTGAGAAATACAGCAATAGTTAGACTGCAGCAGCCCGGCAACAGATATCTAAGACTATTTATTTTTATGATTGATCACAATCTCTTATCAGCTCTGACACATGAAAACTGTTCTGTGTTTATGATAGTTATTTGTAAATCTTTCTCCATCCTAATGTTTTGGCACCAATGCTTGGAGAACAATTACTGAAACTTAGGAGAGGATAGTTGGGAAGTCTAGTTCTGTTTTGTAAAAGGATGAAAATGGAAAGAGTAAGAGAAACTGGAGGCTTCTGGAAAACTAGATGACTCAGTTGTATTCACTTGAATTCCTACCCACACAAAGAAGTGGTTTTGTAAGCTGTTGAGGACAGTGCTAAGCAAGAGGAGGATGCATAGAAAACAATGGCTGTGCTATTACTGACAGTTCATTATTGTAAGGCAGACAATCATTCACGCAGCAACAATGTGAAATGTTGAATGTGGTGCATATGTTTCGGCAGAACAGGGATTTAAGGTAGCAAAGTTGCATAGTTCTGCCAACTATGTCCACTTTTTGGGATTTTGTAGGCAACGTGATGAAGACAATTGCTGTCGGTAACAGTGGCTAAACATGATGGTTTCTGACTTCTGTGAAGAATTTACTGGTTGTGCTTGTTTCCTTTCTCCTTCTGCATATTTTATTGATAATCAGGAACGTACAACTTCGGTGCAGGCATTGTCTGTGGACTCCTAGCCTGCGCAGCAGCTATTGCAGTGAAGCCTGACTGGGGCATTGTGGGGCTGCTACAGAGTTGCTACTTTATAAATAATTATTTTAGCTGGCACTGATTAAGAAAAAGCTGTAATATTAAAATAATAAAGACTAGTGGCTTGCAGCACTGGATTGTTTTGATTAACAATCTGTGGGATCTTGACAAAAGGGAGCTATCTCTGGTAAGGTGCCATTAATTTAAATCCACTCTGCTGTGGATGTTGTTCACAGAATCCTAGAGGGGTAGTGTTAACCTCTTCTGTAGCTGTGAAATGAAGTTGAGCGGTCCTTCCCTCAGTGATTTCTGAATGACAGAAATAAAAATACAGCAGCCAGAGGGCAGGTGTATAAAGTTTATAACAAAGCACTAATATATGAAATAAACCCTTAACCCTCTGGCATAACACTTAGTGTCTCTTTGGGTCACAGCATTTTCAGGGAGGAATTTTATAGCAGGTGGTGCTGCCTCATGAGACATTCGCAATGCAGAATTAAAGGACTTGGCCCGTTCTGCCCTGTCAGCTCTCTGATTGGCCAGCTGTCTGGAAGAAGCACACTGTCATTTTATGGATTGGTATTTTACTTTATTTTTTGTATGTTTATAATGCTGCTTTTACTGGCTGAATTTGAATTACTGAAGCATTCTTTTTGTAAGACTCCATACATATTTTTTTCACCTCAAAATTAGTAGTAAATAGAGAGTTCTCCTTTTATTGCAGACTGTTTGACCTTGCACTTAATAATTGCTTGCAGTTATAACTGCATCTTATGCCTCATCCCCTCCCGGGCTGGAGGAGAGTTGGTCATAGTACATGAGTCACAGCTCTGATCCGGTTCCCAGCCTGGTGCCGAGCGTTATGCAGAAGTTTTGCTCTGCTGCGGGCATTGGAGGCATTGGTAAAGTGTGATTCCCCTTCCCGTTTCCAGTTTTTCTGAACAAGATTGAGTCCTCAAAATGTTATTACATTTGTTTCATACTAGCCTTTCTCACTAGCGTGAAATTCTAGAAATTAAATTAATCTAACTGAATTAAATCACGTTACCATACCTTTTGTTCATCAGCCTTTTAGCATTTTAAAAAAACCAGTCCCATAGCTATGAAGCCATTCCAGGATTTGCTAGTTGCCTTTCTGACTTACTTGTTTTGATAAAGAAATTAATAAGAATTATATCTCCTAGGATCCATTCAGCCTTACTAACTGTGCAGTGGTTTGTACTTTCCCTGTGGGGTTAGGGAAATGTAGTTTGCCAAAACCAGTTACTTTTGGGGCACAGCTTCCCCTGAACAAGTGAACTGCTTATCAGAACAAGTTGTACTAGCTTCAGTGACTTGCACTGAACTGAAGCTGAAATAAGTGGGGAGGATGATTTTGGTACTCTGTCTTGCATCAGCAGGATTTTAATTGGCACATTGCAGCTATGGTGACTGGCATCCCATAAATACCAAAGATAGATTTTAATGTACAATCTTCTACTTCAGAAGATTGATATTTTTTTTTTCCTCCCTAACTCTGCAATATAATGATGTACATTAATTCCTTGGTGCAGTCAAATATACGGAGAAAGTTAGGCTGGTTATTGTGGTGGGTTTCTCTAGTCTCTGTGGAGCTCCTACAAATGAGGCCCTGGGGAGGCAACACTTTGCCTAGTTGTATTCAGTATAAACAACTGTAAATGCTGAATGCCTTATAGACTGTTTTAATACTCCATTATTCTTGAAAGGTAGTTGCTTTTTGCTTTGGATATTGAATATAACTGTATTAATTCAAGTCAGACTGTTTTTACCAGTCACAAAGCTCATGAGTTCATTGACTGTTTGAGTATTTTGGCCAAGTCTTTTTGTTGGTGGTCCACTTTTTTTTTTTGGTTTTAACAGGAGTTAACTTTTGTGAGTAGATGAAAAAAATAATGCACAAGCAAATGTATTAGCAGCTGTTAATGCAAATTCTGCACTGATGTAATGCATAGGGATTTTAAGTGGTATCAGTAAAATGAAGCTGGGCAAGCCACTTCGTGTCTCTTTATTCTTAAGTAGGAAGAGTTCTTCGATGCAGAGGATTTTAAGATTTATGTATGAAAATGGCTTTCTGAGAATTCTCTTGTTTTAGTCTGACCAGAATTTGTTCCTGTCACTCCTAAAAAACATTTACCTCGTGTCTGTGTGTACTTGGTCTTTCATCATTTGTATGCTCTGGTGACTCTTGTTGCAAGGTCCAATTCAGCTCCTGTTGATGCTTTGAGTATTCAACTGGAATTTTTCACCGAGAACAGGATTGAGACCTCAGCTCAGAAAATTCCTTCTCATTTAAATAATACCAGCAGTTTGGCCTGAAAGAGATGAAATCTATGACAACTTTACTCTTTCTAATGCAGATGTACTCTGATGTTACAGCCGGTGTTCCCTTGCTTACTGAATCTGTTTTTGTAATTGCAGCTTCTTCGAATGACAATAGCAAAGCAACGACTTGGAGATGATGAAGTTGGGGCTCGCCACTTTGCAGCACATGAACGGGAGGACCTTGTTCAACAATTGGAGAAGGCTCGAGAACAAGTAATAACTAAATGGGCATATACTGACATGTTTTACAGAGCTAGTGCAGTAGCAAGTAAATGACTGCTTCTGTTGTATTTGGAGGGCTGGTAGCTGATTAACCTTGTTAATAGTGGTGAAGGTGTTGGGATTTTTAGTGTAATAGTTCTTACTGAGCACTAACTTAAATATGCATATGTGGTTAGAGTGAGTTTCCTAATCTCAGGAATTCCTCCTCTAGATTATTGATTCTCCTCTTTTTATAATGTGCAGCCACAACTTGTGACAACTGAATATTGTCAATGAATGTCAATGAAAGAGACTCCTTAGTGAAAGCTGTTACAAGTATTTAACACAATAGGTGGTGGCTGATACAGCTCCTAAAGATATTCACTGAATCAAATTTTCTGTAGAAGTGTTGTTAGTCTCCTCTTCCTCCAGCCTCTTAGCTATTTTTTCCCCTCTCTTGAAAAGTTCTTATATCAGACCTCTTTTCCCTACCTCAAGTCTGTATTCATACTATGTACCATACAGCCTCCAATTCATCAGACTCTCCCTAATACCTATACATAGCTTTCTGGACAATTTGGGGGATTTGTGTTCTCTGTTGTTTTTCCCACACTTGTTCCTACCAGTGTCAGTTCCGCCCTGAATGAGCCATTCTGTGATCCAGGAGGAGGTGTGTATTTCTTGTTTTTCAGTCTTCACTCAAGTGCAGCACTACTTTAGCTTACCAGAAGGACTGTTGACTGCAGTTGTTTTCTTCCAATGTGATTCTCTCTGGTATCTCTGTTCCCAAGCTCATGCACTCTCTGTTCATCGCCTGGCCTGTTTTCACATGGTCTTCAGTTGTACTTCTTGGTTTATCAGTGTTTTCTGAGGAGCCAGTGGAGACTTCTCAACTCATTGCAGCCTTTTCTCACACTCTCCATTTCCTCTCCTTGGAAGTTTGAAGCTCTTTGTCCTTGAGTGTCTTTCATACTGGACTTCTCCACCCTTTTGCTTAATAGCAAAGCTTACCCTGTCACCTCCATGCTGGCTTATTTTGACCTTTTCTAAGTTGTTGTTCTTCCTATTCTGTGGAACTTCATTGCAGAAAGTCCCAACATTAGTGTAAATTCCCCCTTACAGACTTTTTCTTCATCCTCCAAATTTGCCAAATTCTTATTCAGCTGAGTTAATTCCTGGAGTCCTAGAAATTATGTGCTAAAACCAGTTTACCGTGTTTGTAGGAGAATTATAGTATAGATTAATGTTTCTTTTGCTGTTACATTTTAGTTGTTTTCTAGAAATTTTGTAAAATAAGTCTAACTGCTAAAGTTACTTAACTTCAAATTAATGAAATAATAGCAAAATAGAGTAAAAGTATGAGGGGTTATGAGCTTTGGAAAGACTTTTGACTGTCCAAAATCAGTCCTGTTCAGACATGCAGTGCTTGTTGCTATTTTCAGTTTGGGCACTATGTAATTTTTTGTTTAAACTTCAAAATAGTCACAGAGCTCTCCTTTCTTCTCAGATTGAGACTCTGAGATATGATCTTCAGGCTGCACTGGATGAGTTACAGGATGTGAAAGAGGAACGTTCTTTTTACCAAGATAAATCTGACAGACTAAACCAAGAACTTAATCATGTCTTAGGAGGGCATGAAAACCGTATCATCGACATAGATGCTCTATGTATGGAGAACAGGTGAGTGCATTGCAAACCTTACTGTTTTCCTGGGAAGCAGTGTGTTGCTTTAACAGGAGCATCAGGAAGTCAGTCACAACAAAACTTTAAAGAAAATATAGCCAAGAATAAAAGTTAAGAGATTTGGTAATTTGTTTTGTCTGTTTTGTTTGTACTGTAGCTAACCATCAAATAGTATTGAGAAAGTTAGGCTGCAGGAAATAACCAATGTTTTATTTGGCTACAGAGATGTCAGTGATATTCCCAAATAGAGCTAAACAAGGAAAAGCAAGAGAAGTGTAGACCTTTTTATTCTCATCACTGTATGGCTTCAAAAGCAAGAGTATTAAAAATTGGTCTTCAGAAACTCATAGTGAGCTGTAATGGACTAATCTTGGATTGTAAGCAGGGACTTTGAGTACACTGAGTTAATAGTTCCGGACATAATTCTCACCACAGGGGAGGGTTGTCAACATGAAGTGATTTGCCAACAAAAGTTGCTGGTGAAATCACCCATGTAGATATTCTTGCCACTTCCTGGGAAAAGAATGTGTTTTATGATCTCTGCTAAGGACGACAGAGAGGAGTCACTGACAGAGCCATTGCAGGTACCTCCCTTACTGTCAACAATTACCTTAAAGTGAAATAGTTCTTGTAAGACATTTTCCATTTACAGAGGCTTATGTTTCAGGTAATACCAAAGGCATTACTTCCAGCATCTCTGGGGTTTTTTTTTTTTCTGTTTTGCATGGCCTACAGAGTTCTGTATCAATTTAAGCTCCCTGCTCCCCTGACAGTGATACGATTTTTTTTCTCTAAAATAGTTACATTGTCACAAACCCTAGTACAGCTGCAGTTGCACTACATGAAAGAGGATATTTTATAAACCCTTTATACATGAAAAAGATATTTTCCTATGTGGAAATAGCCATCTAATCCAAGTGCATAAAGTCTATTAGGAAGAACTGTACTGTTTCAGTTAACTGTGTACCATTTTTCAACTACACTGTTAAATTTTCTACTTTGTGATTGCTAATTAGAAGTGCCATGTAAGTGATGGATATTGCACTGCAAAAGTTCTGCATAGTTGAGTCTTGTGTTGACATATATACAAATCTTCATGTGTCCATCTTGCAAACCTTCAAGTACAGAGGACATGAGTAAATGCTTCCTGACTATTTCCTCTAGACATAAATATATCCTTTTAGCCTCCCTCCCCAAAAACCTGAGGACTGATATAAAATCGTTGTGCAGCATGCTTGACAAATCTAACAGAAGGGCAACCTCTTCTTCTGATGCAATTTGTTTCCCTACTTAAAGTTTTATGAGGTCAAGAGCAGTAAGATTTTGTTATTTTATCCCTCACAGAACTGCAGAGGGAAAAGAACTCTCAGTAGTTCAAAGAGAGGACATGCCAAATAGTAAAGAGGAGCTTGAGGCAGTACTTGAAGGTAACATGAGGTAAAGGATTACATTTCTTTTTCAGGTATCTTCAAGAGAGATTAAAACAACTTCAAGAGGAAGTCAACCTTCTTAAGTCTAATATTACTAAATATAAGGTAAGATCCTCTCAGTGTATCATCTAAACTGTCCTTCGTGTTTCATGGAGGTTATTGTTCATTCTCATGTTCATATGCATTTAACGAACAAAATTGTGTGTTCAAATTAAAATCTACCATTAACTTTCTGACAATATTAGTATGTATACATACTACATGCTCAGTCTTCCTTGTAGGCTTCTTAGCTGATGTAGTACCCATTAAGAGTGTTTTGAAAAATGAATTAAATACCTTTTATTTTATTTTTTTTAAGTTCTTTGGGGGTACCCTCCTTCTGTTGCAGGGGTGATCAGCCTTCCAGCAGGTCACGCAGTGTCTGGTGAATGACTGCAACTGTGTTGCCTGTCACAAGCAGGTCTTGTCTCCCTGTTCTCTAATGACTGCACTATTTCTTCCTATGTCTTAATGATTGCTGTCTTCATTGTTCTTCCATTCCTGCATTAAGATACATGCTGTTTTGCCTGAAACCTTCAGGACTGAATCCCAAGGGCAAAATATTCTTGCTCTTCCCTGAAGTCAAGTACTTTGTGTTCTTCCGCAAGTGATTTTGGGGTGTGGGAGGGGAAGTCTGCTTGTCAAGGCATGAGAAGGGTTGTCTTAGGACTGTCAGTAGGACTTCTTAACCATTTAAGTCACTACGAAGCAGTCACAGCGCTAATTGATGTTTCTGCATGAGCAAAGCTCTTCAGAATACCATGTTTATTTCAGTGTCTGTTCACACTTATGACTTGGGTCTCTCAGAGTGTGAGTTTATTGGTGAGAACTGAGCATTGTGGTTGTCTGGTGGGTTTCACAGAACTGTTTTGGAAGAGATGGACTTCTGTAGCAGGATCATTCTGCTGCTAATTCCTGAAAGTCAGTATTTGCTACTAAAAGGGCTTCTAGCAACTCTGATAAAGGAGGTTGAGCTTTCCCTTTGAAGCCTATCCAAAGAAATGCTGGGAAAAGTCTGATTTTGTTCTCCACTGATATTCTCTGCAGGATACTGCAGTATCTTCACTGGGACTCAGCAGATTATTAAAAAATAGACAAGTCTAGAAAATGCATTGGGGGAGTGGGTGGGAGACACTACAACAAAGTGATTGCAATGAGACAGAATGAGCCTTCATAACATTGCAAAGACTGTTTTGGTTGGAGAATAATACTCCAGGGGAGTCACATTCCCATAGGTTACTATAGATGTAAGCTCCAGGCCCTGCAGAGTGGTTCTGATACCAAAATCCAAAGTTCCAGATTCATTACTCCTAGAGAAAGGATTTGTTGGCTACTGTTTTTCTAAATAAGTTATTTGTTGTTTCCTTAGAATGCACTAGAGAGACGAAAAAATTCAAAGACTCATAGCAGATCCAGTAGCAGTGCTCTGACTGGAGTCCTGTCTGCAAAGCAAGGTATTACATAAATGCAGCATGGTGTTGCATATCTCATTGAATTTCTTCCATCTTACCTCTTAATTTCAGTAACCGTTTCCTCACCAACCAAACCAAAATCTTTCTTCTCTTTCCTGTTTGTTATTAGGTGCTTATTTTTGTCCTTTTCTTAGTTGACTTGACAATATAAAATTTGTCTCTTGAGTACTGCTTCTCCTCTTGTTACTCTTTTGCCATTCGTTCTCTCCCCGGTCAGTTTTATCAAATATTTTTTTTAATCTCTAAACCCCTCTGCAACTTTGACCCTGACAAATCACTTCTTTGTTCATCTCTTTGCTCTGCTAACAATGGTGATCCCAATTCATATTCCAATGAGAAACAGACTGGGTGGTAGAGGAGGGGCCCTAAGTTGGGTTTTCTGGTACTGTTCTTGGAAGCTTTTACATTCAGGTGTTTTGCAAGATATCCTTTTGTCCCATGTTTCTTCATGGATAGCAAAATGGAGTAATGCCTTTTCCCCCCTTCAAAGAAAACATTAAGATTATGAAAGAAAGGGGAACAGAAAACTCTTTGAGCCAAACAGTATACCTGGCACCCTACTGTTTAGGTGTTGGTGTATTCATACACACACAGGAGATCAGTGGTATTTGTCATGGCAGGTTGAAACTTGCTTTTCTGTTTTTGACTTCTCTTCTGTCCTCTTCTCCATGTACTTGCATACATGTATGTATATATAAAGAGGCAGAGCCAGATTCTAGTTACAGAAGTTAATGATACTGCTGAACTTCCTGACGTGGTTGAGAGGTACAGGCTCTGAGCTGCAGAGGAAGAGTTCATGGGTGACTGTATTTTCACATCAGTCTTAAATATCCTGAAGGATATAATAATTCTAAAAAGTAATGTAAAAGCTTCCTTGTGGGCTTATGTTTTAATGTAAGTGGGAGACAAATGACTGATTTTTACCAATCTGTAGGCCTGTAGAAGAATGAGTTTGTTTCTTTCTGAACAAAAACAATTTTCCAAAAGCAGAATTAAGTTATCATAAGATCTATCTGCCTATACTTGTTCTGGCAATTGCTGTGGAATAACTATCAGCTTAAAAACTCACCATCTTTATGCCAGCTAGAGATTATATTTTTGGTCTTTTGGCTTTGTTAATTGAAGGAAAAAATATTCATTCTTTAATGCTAAGTAAATGTTTGTGTCACATGTCTGTGCATGAGAAGCGGAAACTCATTTGTATTTTTAACATTATAGTCCAGGAATTGTTGTCAGAGGATCATGGATGTAGCCTACCAGCCACACCACAGTCCATTTCAGATCTCAAATCACTGGCCACTGCATTGCTGGAAACTATCCATGAAAAAAACATGGTCATACAACACCAAAGGCAAACCAACAAGTAGGTAGCATGACTTCTAAGTAAAATAGAACTTACCAAGCTATGGAAAAGTCATAATTTTGGGGGAGTTCCAGGGAAATGAAGATCCGTTTTCACAGAAAATTCATTGTCATTGTTAACTGGTGGGTTCTTTAGTTTTTAATATCAGGTATGTGTTTAGAGAAAAATTACATTTTCAAAGTAAAGTCTGGGATTGACAGAGACCTGCCTGCCTCTGCTAGGCAAGGATTGGTTCACTGCTTGGGTTTAAGACAAACCATAATAATACAGGGGGACTTCTAGCAGGTTGTAGGGAGGGCTAAAGAAAAGCTGCTGAGAGGAAGGACACCCTTGAACTGGAGGAGATGATATTTGATAACTGGTTGTTAATGTAAGAATTTGCTGATGAACACTGGTGGGAATAGTAAATGTTGCACCTAGGAAAGGATCTGAAAAGATTTATTGTAACATTTGTCACAGGCTAGCAGCCTACATGTTATAAAAATGATAGCTGTTGCTCCTCTAGTTACTTTATCAAAAGTTGTAGGAGATAAACACAGTTGGATTGCTACTATGTGATTTTTTAAAAAATCTGCACTGAACTTTAAAGGAGAATTTGTTTACTCTTAGCTGTTCTACTCATCAGTGGAATTCTTTGTGTCTTGCACAGCTCCTATCATGGCAGAATATAATCATTTTTGACACGTTTTCTGACATTCTGATATTATTGTCCTTATACAGTGTATGAAAATCAGAACTAGGAAGTGTTCCTTGAATCTGTGCTCAGGTTTATTCTCTCTCTCTTTTTTTTTTTTTTTTTTTTTTTAAACACTGAGTCACTACTGGTAATCAGAGGTTATTCAGGCTTCTCAAAAGCACATCAGGACCAGATGCCAGAAACAGGCAGACATCTTTCATGAAAGGAAGGAGTAGTACTGAAGTAAACTGTATTGCAGTAGAATAGATGATTCATTTTGAAAATTGATAACTCTGATACTAGGCAGACTCCATTGCATAATTCTTAGTGATGTGGCAACAGAAGTGGAGGAGCAGTTTATAGCCACTCTTAATACTCTTGAGAAAGCAAATACCTAATCAGCTAAAGGGAGACTAAAGTGGTGAAAATGTGGCCCATATCTAACTGATGGCAGCTCAGTCAATTCATGTCTGTAAGAATGTCGTGTAATGCAAGAGGAGTTCCTGCACTGAGCAATGCTAATGAAGGGCTAACTCCTGCTTACTCGCTTCTTACTGCTACTGTAACATCAGAAGGAAAACATCCACAGAACAGCTTTTGTTATTCCAGGTATAAACAATCTTTGCCTTTTACATCCTGATACTCTACAATTACCTGGTGTTCTAGTTTGCATACTCTTTCTGGTAACTATAGCAAACTTCTTTCTTAATTTTGTGTATGTCTTTGATCATGTGCAGTCTCTTGCATCTCTCAAATGTATCATTGCAACGATGGCTTTACTTTCTGATACCACTGTCTCTGCTTTCAGCTATTGAGTATGGGGTTTCTTGAGATAAGCCTTCACGAGGAGATATGATTCTTTTATCTGCGTGCCCAACTGTTCTACTGGTCATACAGGCACAGGAGTAGAGATTGGATGTGTGCTCAAAGTAGTATGCTATGCCCAATAGAAGATCAGGTCTTAGAAGGAGGTGACAGTCCACATCTCTCCCAGGTCAGGAGTGTGCTCAGAGCTGTAGTGTTGTATTCAGTTTTGGATGCTTCAGGGGAAGAAAAAGAAAGATAAATCCTGAGCAAGTTGGGTGAAGAGCCTCAGCAACACTCCTATGTGGTGTGCTCATTCTTTTTGTCACTTTTGGCTTTAGTTGGATTAAAGAAGCTTTTAAGGAGCTAGGAGGAGTGGGAACTACTTCAAGTAGAAACACCTAAGACACAAAAGTGTTAAAGTGAAAAAGGGAAATGCAGGTAGGACATTGGGGGAAAAATCCTATATTTGAGATACATTAGCTGGTTATTGGGGGTTGTGTTTATTTGCCATGTAAAAAGTTACAAGTGAAGACTGATGACTTCTGAAAATGGGGAAGAAACTGCCCACCTGTTGGAGAAGGTTAGAAGTGAGAGTGAGGTCAGTGCACAAGTAAAATGGACAGGTCCATAAACTGGTGCTAAGTAGAAGATGCATTCTTTGTTGAAGACATTTCTCCATTCAAAGTGGGAAGTTGAGAAGGATATGGGACTATAGAGAATTGTAATGACAAAAGGTTTTACGTAAATCAGAAGGTAGAAGTCTTCTCCTTCACCCCTCTGTCCTGTTCGCCTGGCTATCCCTGCACAGCTGAGCATGTTTGAAGGACACAGTTCCTCTTTGAGATTGTCGTCTGAAGAAAGTGAGATTTATTGCATAAAGAATGTGAGATTTTGCGCTGGTTTCATTCAGGAAGTAAGTTCTGGTTTTGACATTTGATAGTTAATTGACATTTAGTGATTCTATTATCAATAAATGAGACTTTTCAGACCGTATGAACTTATTTTCCTCCAAACAGTTAACCTACTCTAAAGTCAAAACCTCTTTTGTTGCTTGAAGATTGAGATATGGCTATATAAGTTTACAATAGCAGAATGGTAGATTTGCTTTCTGATTAACTGAAGCAATAACAAGACAGTGGATTTTTTCTACGTGGATTAGAATTTGGACGTGCTGTTGAAGTTGGCTTTCTGCTGTTATAGTGTTGCTAAAAACATCCGTTGCCACTTGCTCTTGGAACAGGCACACTATTATTATTGCTGCTTTTCTAAATCTGTGGCATGATAAAAAGAGCTGTGGGAGTATGTGCCTAGGAACAAGTAGGCTAAATCCAGCCCTTTTTTTTTTTTTTAAGCGCCATTTTTAAGAGAAAAAAAAAAAAGTTGTTTGGGAAGAAAACAGGTCCTTTTCCCCAGGTGATTGGTAGCTACTTCTGCTAAGTTTAAGTAACGTCCTATGTTTTCACTTACAAGCACATTAGCTTAATTTGAAAAGGCAGTTGTAAATGAATTCTGTATGCAGTAATGTGTTGCAAGATTAAATAGTTACATAAATATAAAAATAAACAGTTCTAACCCTGCCTAGCAAATGGATAAAAATATTCTTTTTCTTCTGCCAGCAATAAACCATTTATTAGATGTTCTTTCTAGTGCAATTTGTTCCTGAAATTGCCAGCACCCATGCAAGCCAGATCAATGTAGAAGCTGCTCTGCTGCTTAGACATGTTGCACTAATTTTAACATTTCTAACTTGGGCAAGCTCAGTCATGACCAAAATTATAAAAAGGATTGTGTCAGTCTGAGTAAATGTTTCCATGTGACGTATAGAACTAGATATGTGACCGTGACAAACCCTATTTACAGCCATTTGGGTGATTGTATCTGTATGAGGGTATATGTCTTCTGTAGCAAGATCTACATGGAAAGTGAGGTGAATGGAGCTTGGGTGCTGTAAATCAGCACAGCTCCCTTCAGATTATGGCCATGTATGTTGGGAAGCATGGGAGAGCCAGAAGGGAGCTTCTAAATTCAGGTGGAAGTATTGCTGCTGTTACATGAACAACAGATTTCTGTAAAACCTTATCCTGGAGGGAGGTTTAGACTAACTCCCTTGTTGCATTAGACGCATGACCAGAGGACGGTGGAAATAACTGTCGGCACCTTTGTCCATGACATGATCCTTCTGTTTTTGTCGAAGGATCTGGTCCGCTATGGCTAGAGATGAAAAATTAGATTAGGAAATTTTGATGGCACCAACCCGTGCAGCCCCTTTAAAAATACCTACTGTTCCAGGCCACAACAGCTCAGTGTTCCCACAGCACATATGGAGGTGGCAAATTATCTGGAGGTCACAGGGGAAAGGAAGGAATGGGATAAACCACGCTGCGTTCAGGATTGCTTACACGTTTATTTTTCAAAAAATGTTTTTATAAGAACTTGCAGCTTTATGTAGGGTTCATTTCTCCCATGCCTGTCTTCAGACAATGTGGTTTGAAGCAAACTAGAATCATGCTCATCACTTTACGATTTTTGCTCTCTTCCTCAATGAAAGGAGCAGGGTTAAGTATTGTCCTCTCTTTTTTGCCAACCATTTTTCAGAGCTGCAGAATGATCCTTCTATGTGAGAACTTGCAACAACGGTTAAAAAATAGCTCGGCACCTCTTCTGAGGATCCAGTAGGAATTATCAGGATATATTTGCTCCAAAGCCTTTAGAAATAGTGTGGTACCATTGATAAATGAATTATAAAATTTAAGAGAAGCAAGAGAAAAGTGACTTTGCTGCTGTTGTCTGAATAGCAAGAGCAGTAGCAATAACTGAACTTGATGCTGAGGGTTGAGTTTCCCTCTGCGATACAGCTAGCCGACAGGGAGGGCAGTATTTTTCCCCCCTTTTCTGCTCTGGAACTACTGGTGAACTACTGATGAAAATAATAAGGCTTTTTTTTTCCTTTCCTGGCAGAAGCGCTTAATTTGTGACCCAATTGTTGTGACAATCATTAGCCAAATCAGTGTTGTTCTGTCAGCTCCCTTGCTGAGCTAACATGATGTGGAAGAAGTCTTGCATCGTCTCTGGCTGTTCCCTGCCCCTCTAAGCCAGGGGAACTAACTCCATGTCCTTCAGCTGACCTTTGGTGGGGCCTTAGGGAGATGGGAGCGGGCTCCCTCTGCGCAAGGTAGAGCTTCTTGAAAGTTGTTCTGTGCCTTTCTCCATCACCTGTTGCTTTATACTGCAGAGCACAGATGCTGGATGTCAGGCCATGCGCTGGGATATGAAAATAGAGTTATTAAGGCTGAGTCTCTTATACCAGATGGAAGCATTCTGAAAGCGAAATCTAGACTGAACAATTTTGATTGTAATTGGAGAAGACAGTAACAGATCCATCATAACCTTGGTAACCTATTTGATTACTGAGTTTCAATGGGGAAATAAACATAACTGCTCCCAAATGTCTTCTCTCCTCTGCTTGTAAATGTGATGGACTGTTTGCTTTTTAGTTGATATATACCCCTGTACCTTTCCATGCTTGCTTTCATATTTATTGTAAGCTTTCTCTTCCTCTTTTACGTCCTCTCTCTCATCTTGGTATTTTTGCAATCTTTAAAATACTTACAGGCTTTTATTGTGTCATTGCAGAGCCCTCAGAGTAGAGATTTCAAAAATACTTAGTCCTTGTTAATCAATTTTTCTAGCCCCTTCGATATTTGCTATTCTTTATGTCCTTCCCTGCCATCTTGTCAGTAATGACATTCCCAGTATGCTCAAATGTCTGCAGCATAAAACTCTCGGTGGAGAGCACGCAGTGCAGTATTACACAGCTCTGGTGAGCACGGGAAGATACTATTGCCTTGCTGTGTTATGATATGCTGCTTCTCAGCATTCAGTTCAAATTTAACTGACTTACCCTGTTGCTGTAATTTGATGAGTAAAACGTGCTGTCCATTATCTCTGCTGTTGTGTTTAGAATTGCTACCTCGTCTAGGTTTCTCACTCTATTGAGTATTGTTTGGGATTTATTTAAAGACTTCTGACTCTAGGAGACTTGCTGTGCCTGTGAGAGAAACACTTTCAAAAATTCATTGGAAAAAAAGAGCTTTCTTTGCAAGATAGAAATCTCTCATTTGATCTGGGGAGAGAATTAAGACTAAAAGTTAAATCCTGCAGGAGAGCTAACTGCAAATAGTATTTGTGTAGGAATTGGATACAAAAGAAGAGATGACCCAAGAAATGCAGTGGAAACTAAGAGTAGGTGATAAAGGCACTAAAGAGCTTGAAGCTTTTGAGTAAAGCAGAAAACGGAGTTCAGCACTAAAAGAAAAGATGTAGTAGAAAAGATACTCCTTGCCATTTTAAGCAATCTTAGTGATAGAGAAATTTCTGTGAATAAAGGACTAGGCCAAAATTGTGTCTTAGAACTTCAAAATCTATCTAGATGTTATCTTGAGTTTTCCATATTTTGTCTGCATAGCTTTTACCTCCTAGTTTTAGCTGTAGAGAAAGTAAAAGTAACTGTGAAGAGATGCTTGCAGGCAAGGAAATAGAGTTGCTATTCTTTGTGTTTACCAAACGGCAAAGACTGAATGTCCAGTACATCCTAGACTTTTTTTTTTAAAACTATGGGATAGATTAGACAACTATATTTCACTTTCTTTTAACTCTGGGGGACGTTGTCCATTGCCATTAATGAAAAGAGACGACTGTATACAGGGTTACCGTACTAGTTAAAAATCCAGCTGTAGTCATGTAAGCAATTGGGCTTTGGTTACCTTAGTATAACAAGGACTCTCTTCTCAGCTGACTATCCCTGGCTTTTGTTTTTGTTTTCTTTTTCCAAAGAATTCTAGGTAATCGAGTGGCAGAACTAGAAAAGAAATTAAGAACTTTGGAAATTGCTGGCTTGTGGAGTCTTCCAGGTTAGTAAAAATTCAAGAGAACAGCTTCCATTATTTAGTTTTCAAGTGTATATTTGCATTTAAGAAAAGCTTGGCTATAATTTTTTTAATGACACTTATTTTGCTTATGTGCTGTTCAGCACATTTGCAAAATTGGAAACATGTAATAAATGTTAAGTTGATACCAAAAACCACTAGACTCTTTAAAACTCTAAGTCAAATATGTATACTGGGAAAAAAAAAAAGTTTTAAATACTGGCAATAATCAAATTGTCTCCATAGTCTGCAGGCAAAGAAAGGGAACTATTTTATTTAAACAGTTGTATAAAATGATACACAGGATATCGGCCATTATGGTTTTTTAACAAATGTATTTATTAATTTTGTACTTTTTGGAACTACCATGGATTTTATTGCTGTATTTTTAATGTTTTTCTGTAGAATCATAAACTCTGAGAAATTGGAAATGTAAATGATCTTAAATTTTCTAGTCCATCTCTCCAGAACAGGCTTATTCCCTGTAGCATCTTAAGTATTGTATTTGGTTTTGAATTACTCAAGTAATGGGAGATTAATCTGCTTCCTAATAGACCTCGCTGTTAGGAAAATGTGCAATATTTAATTTACATTTACTTTTTGCTTCTTTTCTTCCCATTACACCTAATTGTGTCTTCTTTAACCACTGTAAATTATGCTTCTCCACTGTTGGTGTTTGCATCATTAGGCTTTGTTGTTTACGGCTTCCTATCGGTGCTACTGGGGGTGGGAGATAGTGTGGTTTAGGCTTCTAGTTTTTTGGCTCTGTGTTTTTTCCACCTGACCTTTCCGTCTAGAAGAAAACATTTGACAGAGCTGAAGAGACCTTGTGACAAACCTGTGCTGTTCAATCAACCCTTTGGCCTGCTGCGGTGCATTTCCACTTTAGCTTGCCTGTTGTAGGCATTCTCAATCACCTCTCTGGAACTGGCTCTCTTCTTGACGCTTTCCAGAACTGAAGGTCCCAAATTTGTTTCTATGGATTATTCTTCAGTTAGTCACCTAACATACATAGTATACTTAGTGCATTTGTCCCTCCCCACATTCTCCAAAAGATGAAGGTAAAATATTTGTCTAAGACCCTGCTAATGCAGTTTTGTACCTTAGTACAAATGTGTATCATAAACTGTAGGGTTTTGGGGGGGTTTGTTTGGGGTTGTGGGGTTTTTTGTTTTTTTGGGGTTTTTTTCCAAAAATTATGTTCCATGGAATTCATACACTAATAAATGCAGCATTTCTAATCTTTACAAAATATATTTAAAAAACTGGAACAGTGGGAACTTCTTGCACCATTGTTGGTCTGTGTAGGTAAGACATCAAATTAATGTTTATACAATAACAACTGTCTCTTTCCTTCCTTTCTTTTGCTGCCTGAAGGCCTGAGCTACAATGTCTCAGTGGGATTTGGGAGTAGGTTCTGCTTAACATATATTTTTAGTAACTGATTTTAGCAGTATGTTAAATATTGTCACTGCATGTAAATAAACGAAAATGTTATCTGAACATTTTTATATCGGCAGATTAATTGTTCAGTCAACTAAGTTACATGACCACAAGAGAATAGAGGCTGCTCTGCAAGACAGTTCCTTCCAATTGAGGAAAATAGTCAGAAAGTATGATCTTAAATAGTTGTAAAGGAATTTTACACTGGATTGCAAGTTCTCTTGAGCCCCAAGGTTTGTTGATTTGCTGCTTGCCTTTTAAATCAAGAGTCCACTTTTGTTTCCAAGTGCACTCTTAGTCCCAAGGTGGTCAGAAAGAGCCTTGCAACACCTGGTGGGTCACCAATTGTCTTTTCAGAGCGTGGAAAGCTGCCGCTCCATAAAGCAGCAGTGTGTAACAAATAGTGTGGGAACTACCCCAGTGGACTCTGCAGCTGAATATTGGCTCAGGTGAGGGGCAGAACATGGCGAGTATCTCATCTAGTCAGTCCGAGATCCAGAGAGAAAATTATTTGCCTGAACTTTTTGTCATTAGAAAAAATACGCAGATGAAAGCTGATGTTCAGTCTAGCACTCAAAGAAACATACATTATAAATTGCAGGTTTTTAATCTGAAGTTAATGTTCCTACTTAGACGTCATTGTCCATATAACATTTATAACATCCACTGTCACTAGGATATTAATATCTTCCAAATGATGTTAATAAACTTTATCCTATTGAAGAAAGAGCTTGACCACTTCTAATTTTTTGTTAGGTGACGTATTTGTCGTCTGCTTTTTGAGCAATGCATAAATGAGCTATGGGGAAGCTAATCAAGAGGAAGTGCGTGTTTAATTTTTGAAATGGTGAAATTGGTAGTGTAGTTCATCTTCTGTAGAGGTTCTGCCTACCACAAACTTTAGCTTCCTCTGTTTGGAAAATGGGCTTTAATTAAATGAATCTCTTGTGAGGTTCATTGCTGAAAAGAAAGCAAGCTTGGGCATAGATTTGGTTCTGATTTTCTTTTTCTGAGCCTGTTTGCTTTGAGAAGGAAGCAGAGAACATGATTATCCTGGTTTCAGCTGGGATAGAGTTAATTTTCTTCCTAGTAGCAGGTACAGTGCTGTGTTTTGGATTTAGGATGAGACTAACGTCGATAACACACTGATGTTTTTAGTTGTTGCCAAGCAGTCAGGGACTTCTCAGCTTCTCATACTGCCCTGCCAACGAGAAGGTGGGGGGTGCCCTAGAAGCTGGGAGGGGACACAGCCAGGACAGCTGACCCAAACTGGCCAAAGGGATATTCCATACCATGTGATGTCATGCTCCATATATAGCTGGGGGTTGGCTGGGAGGCGGGGCAGCTCAGGAACTAGCTGAGCATCAGCTTTGGGTGGTGAGCAATTGTGCTGTTCATCACTTGTTTTTATTATTTTTTATTATTATTGTTTTCCTTTTCTTTCCTGTTAAACTGTCTTTATCTCAACCCATGAGTTTTACCTTTTTCTTTTCAATAGTTTCCCCCATCCCACTGGGCAGGGGGCAGTGAGTGAACAGCTGCATGCTCGATTTAGCTGCCAGCTGGGTTAAACCCGACAGTGATGTTCACAGAAGCATTTATTTCTTTGTTTTGTCTTAGGTATATTGTGGTTCAAATATGCATGCATAATATGTTACGTGTATTCAGTAATAGTACATAGCAAATGCCACCTTATTCCTCTCACACTTTGATCTCACTAGACATTCAGATAAGTAATTCTATATTTTTAAAAATCTAACAATTTCCTGAAAATTCCAGATTTCCACTGAAAACAAGCCTAAGAAAAGAGCCAACCGTGACTCAGCCTTTTTCTGTCTGGGATGATAAGAAAGTTTCGGCGCTGCCTTTTGCTCTGCAGTAATCAGCGTGGAGCAGAGGCAAGGTAGAATTAATGGGCTCAGCAGCTGCTCTGGATATAGCCAGTGACAGCGGCATAGGGTGCAGCAGAGGTTATAAGAGGATACCCAACCCTGGGGAAGAAAATGAAGAATTTACTACTACTGAAAACTTATTTATCTACTTATTTTGAGATCTAGAAAGTCCTTGAAAAATTCATTAAATAGAGGAACACAAAGCTATATAAGTTATGAAATTGAGTTTACATGGCAGCTAATTGAAATTCCCTGTGTGTAATCCAACTTCAGATCATGATTCACAGAATATAGTGCAGCAGTACCCCCATGTCCCTCCTTCATGAATGGGTGTGAGTCACTGTTAATAAATAAATATGCATCGGACTCTTTGGGCCACATCTGTTGCTTAGATGTGTGAATACTGAGCTTAGCTTTATTTTCTGTAACCAAGTTGGTTTTCAGAGAAAAATGTGAAAGTAAATATATTTACTGTGTAAATGCTGGCTGGAAGTCAAGAAGTTTCTTTTTTGAAGCTTGTCTTGCAATCTTCAGGGACTTTAGCTCAGGCTTTACTTTTTTTAATCGAAAAAAGAAAAAGACTCTGCTTTCTACTTCCTGTTATAGCCTCCCCCCCTCGATTTTTTTTTATTCATAATCTTTTTGAATTTTACTTCCTCTGTTGGATTCTTTTGTATCTTTTGGGATATGTGGCTACTTTTGACTGTGTATGAATATCTGTTGTATGTTTTCATACTACTAGTTCCCTGTATATTTTAGTTCTTCCAACTCAAAATTCCTTCACTATTATGGGAAAGTGTATTTGTACGGGGGCTTCTGCATTTTGAAATAGCCATTGGATTTGTTTTGGGTTTTTTTCTTTTTATTTTAATTAATTTTGCCTTACACTGGAGTGGGGGGTTCTCCACTGTTAGTTAATATTATTTTTTATTACTTGCTGTGGCAAAGGCAGAATTCTGATTCATACTTGATAGGGGGATCAAAGCTTGACAAGATCCATGTTTCAGAAGCATTAATTGCATTCATATTGCTGCAGTATATTATACCCCAATGTGTTAAGGATCTAAAAATTTCATTAATACCTTCAGGATCAAGGTATTAACAGCCAGTGCTTTCAAAAGTAGTTAGGGATTGGGGTAGTCCAGTTCAACTCTATGGGAGTGGCTCAACTTTCATTATTTCTTTGTAGGAACCAGAACTTTCTCAAAGCTGGATTTATTCTGGGTATATTTATTCTCCTGACCTGGTGCTCTTTTTGAAAGTCTTTGTCTTGGATGGGTGATTAGATTTAGGATGTTGCCTTAAGGTGAAACGTACAAACAGATTTAGAGGGGAGAAGTGGTTGTTACCTAAGTGTCGGTTCTTATGGAGATAAATAGAGCAGTAGCTCACCGCCTCCCCAGCCATTACTTATCGGCTGGGCTGGCAGTTGTTCTGGAGGCCACACAAACATCACGCTTAGCTGATCTTGCACATTTCCTGCCATTTCCCCTCTAGGTTTAAGGTAGTGTCAGTCACTGAAAACATGAGCATCCTGAATAGTGGAGGACTTCCTAAAGGATCTGCAGGTGTTGCTTTCCATATTGCTAAGATATGTAAAGACTAGGTATCTATGGCAGAGTCCTCAGCTGAAGAGTTTCTTGCACTATTTTGTCTGCAAAAGAGCTGGAAAATTGCCCTTTTCCATTTGGTTTAAAACGAAAATGCTCAGAAATATTTTTGGAATTTTCAGATCGAAATCCCTCCTGTTCCCCAGCAGTGTGTACTTGTTTGCTCCCTCAGTTCTTGGTTATCCTAACCTTTTAATATTTTTTGTAGGATAATATGTCTGTGAGTCTGAAGTGTGAAACTACACGTGTGATATGAGCAGGTTCATCATTGAGGCAGAGTAATAGAGAGTAAAGAGTCAGTGCTGAACACTTGCTGGTAATAGCATGCAAATGATCCATTACTCTTCATAAAACTTTTGGTATGATCTGATTATTAATATATTGAATCGAATGCTAATTGCTAATGCAATTTGCTGCATGTAGCATCTGGTCTTCTTTCAAAATCTGTCCTTTACTCAGTACTGCAGGTAAAAATATACACCTTTTCTATATTTGACTTGCATATTCCAGCTCCAGTACAGAGTATCTTTTTCTGTGCTGTAGAAGGATCATTTGAGATGCTTTTCCTGTTCTGTACTTTTCAATAACATGTCAAAAAAATTGTAGGGTATGTTTGAATATCATTAGTGCACAATGGATGCAATTGGTGAATTAATAGTTCTAAAATTTTGATTGTTTCAGGTGGAAAGGATACCATAACATTCAGTGACCCAACCTTGCCTGTTATACAGCGATCCAGGTCACCGTTATTAGCGTTTACTGATAAGCCACAGAAAACCGAAGTACAAGGTGAGCCCCTGGAATGTAAGGAACATGATGAGACCTGAGCACTCATTTCTTTCCAAATAAAAAGTAATAAATTTTCATGCTGGGATAGCAGAAGGCAAAGTTTCAGTGGTCACAGAGATTGAATAAATCATCCACAAGTAAAATGGATAGATGGTCCCAGTACAAATAGCAAAGAAACGACTGAAAAATGACCGTTGAATAGACTGCACAGGGCTAGGGATCAGGTCGTACACCTCAAAGAACTTTCCTGCCAGATAACTTGATACTGTAAGAAGTTATTCATGCCATCTATGTTACAGTTAACTGCCTCCTGCTCTTTTTCCCTCAGTTAAAATGCACAGTAGGAAAGCAGTCTGTGGAACTGGCTTAGCACTTTCCTGCATTATAGCTGATATCTCGATGAAAGGCTTCCTGATTGCGCCCGGTAAATTGAAATACCCGACTCATTTTCCCAGAGAAATTGACTGCTTTTTTTATAGTCTTGCATGTGTTTTGTTAAAAATCCTTCACCAATAGCAAGCTTTAACATCTTTCCAGAGGCAAACTTACCTTTATTTGACAGTACCAGAAGATAGTGTTTTGCTGATAACCTTGATTTATTTTTTTCCCTTAGTTTTTCAGAATAGATCGGGGATGGATTATTATGCTTGCCTATCGGCATTTGGATAAGCTCTTTCATGGGCATAACATTTTGGTATGCCCAGATCTTACTCAGCTAACCATGAAGCATCATAAACAATTTACTTGTTAGTCCTGAAACTAAATAGATTGTGGCTTAATTTTGACTTTATTATCCATGTCACCTTCTAATAAAACTTGACAGCTAGACTGATCGTGTTTTTTATAATCTTGATCAACTGATATTTTTGCTAAAAATAAGAAGTGAAACTATAGTGAATAGTTTGCCGGTGAGTAATAATAAATCATAAATATTCATTTTTTTCCTGCTTAATCATTGATTTTTAATTACATCTGCAGTTACTGCAAGTATTTACTTGGTGGCATTATGCTCTTTCCTTTATGCATTTGTCCTAGGTAAGGTTGGTATTACAGTTTTGATTAAAGCTGCCTGTCAAATCTCATCAGACCCTGTTTCTGTTGCTTTGTAACACTGCCAAACTTTAGCTCTGGGCTGAAGCTTTCCATGCTGTGTTTTCTACTTCAGCCGATTTTTTTAATGTCAGCCAGATCACTTTTTTGTGTTAAATTCTGATGACCACGTGTTTTGTGGGTTTTGTTGTTGGGTTTGATTTTTTTTAAACATGCAAGCATTTAGTGTATCTGTAATTGAAAGGATATTGAAATCTAGGGAAGAAGTTTCCACCCTGAGAAAACAGGCTGGAGTCTTCACCCCATTCTAAACCCTTCACTTACAAATCTCACCTGCTAAAAACAACAAAAAACAAACCAATGATTCTGTTGAGCTTGCTTCGTGGCACCAACACTGGTAAAACTCTGCATGCACGATTCTTTCAAGATAATGTAAACCTAGGGGGAACAAAACCTGGAGCAGAGAGGAAAGGAAGGCTGAGATCAGGACTCTCAAGGGATGGGAAGACTAGAGTAGATGGGGATTGACAGAGTCTGAGTGAGAGGGGACCTGCACCTAGCTGAGCAGAAGTTGAAGCACGGGAGCCGGGGGAATCAGAGTGCTGACAGTGAAAGCAAGGTGGGATAAAAAAAGATTGAAAGATGGGTGAGAAATGGGCAGAGTGAGTATAGGGACTGCAAAATCAAAGGGATATAGGGCAGGAGCAAAGAGCTAGCAGGGGGAGAGAAGAGTAGAAGAGAACAGCCTTGGAGAGCAGAAGGCAGACAAGGATTAGGGCTGTGGTAGTCATGGGAAGAATCGGCTCCCAGTAGGTTGTCGCCCTCTTTCCTCCTCTCCATCCCAGAACCGTAACAGAGCCAATGTCAATCACAGAAATCCTGTCGTTAAACTGGAGTAGGTTAAGAAATTACTGTTCTTCCTGCACAAGCAGCTTGGTTTTCCCTTTACACGTGGTCCTGTATACCTGATAACCTGCAGTGAAAACTCAGACAAAACTCACCTCTGTGATAGTTTAAATAAACTGGGCCAACTTTTCAGTGACACAGATGAGCACACATATACTACCAGCTGTGCAGGGGATGCCATAGCTTCCAGCAGCAGGTGGAGCAACAATAACTCCTATTGCTCCAGATCTTTTTTCTGGAGGCTGTTTGGAGCTGCCATCTTCCCTTTGAAGCCTGGAAAGGAAGCAGTGTGTTTTCAGCTGTAGGGGCACATCCCTCTGATTGGACTCACACAGCTCCTCTGCACTCAGCAGCTATGTGGGAGTGACACCGAGTCACCTTTTGTGCCACTCTGCATAGAGGATGACTGTCTGCTGTTGAGTTTTGGTGCATATTGCAATTTTTCATCAATACAGTGTACCTCCAAGGTCTTAGGGGAGCTTGGCAGCTGGGAAGAACATAGGAGTGTGTTCATCTGCCTTTGTTTACCGAGCAAATATGCACTTGGTTTAAAAGTATTCCAGAAATAAAAACAAACCCACTTTTATTTTTCTGTTAGTTGAATGATCAGTTGAGTGAAAACAGTTGATAAGCAGAATAGCAATGAAATTCTTGCATATCTTTAAATACTAGGCATGATGTCACATCGGTCAGCAGCTATGGTCCTTTAAATAGTATCATTGATATTTGGCGCCTGTTTGGCACAGGAAATGTTTTTAGCTTTTGCACTAACTTACATTCTTTATCAGAACTTTCTATAATACATCAAAAGCTGCTCTAGCTAGAGCTACAGATAATCAGAGGGCTTTTTCAGGCCTTTTTTATCTGATCTATCTGCTTACCCTGGTCTCATCAAGGCCTCTTTTAGTCTGTACTTGTTATTGTTCTTTCAGTTAAGCTGGATGGTAGAAGTCTGTAGGATATACTGTGCAGTTCCTGTGTGAAAATGCATAATGACATAGTACCATCATATAAATTAAAGACCGTCTTGTGCCACCAAATCTCACTTTATCCAATTCACAGGATGGATAGTGTCGTGGGATAGATTGTACTTGAGCATCACAGCTGCTAATGAACAGCTATTTAGGTTTTTTTCCTCTTCATTGTTGAGTGCATTGTTCCTGCTGTATTGCCTGTGTGCTATTTCAAGCATTCCCTGAAGACAACAGTACTCTTTTTCTATGAACTTTTCTCTGGTGATACAGTGCTTTGAAACAATTTCTCTTCAGAAAATTGCAGCAAGGTGATGGGGTGGTGTTATGCCACCGTAGAGGGAGGAAACTGAGGCACACAAAGAATAAGGTAGAGTCCCTGCTAATTTAGAGTGCCAATTTGAGGTGCATCAGTTTTGGCTCTTTTTGGAGCACTTTAAGTATGTGTGTTGATGAGCAATACTGCAAATCCGGCTCCTACGTTTCCAGCCGAGCGCTCAGATAATGAGGATTAGATCATGTGGGTGATCACCTTTTGAACGTTAATTTATCCCTGCCTTTTCCACAGACTTAAATTCCAGCTCTTCAGAGTAGCATTCCTAGCTTCCTTAATGGTAGCAAGAGGGTCTGTTCCCATCACGCCAACCTTTGTCTCACTCACTCGGCAGCTCCCAGATTATAAATGAGGCGGCTCTGACAGAGGCAGTAGGCTCCCGTATTGTGCAGATCTGGTCCCTCCCTGCAGCCTCGCTGTCCCGTGCATTGTGTGAGGCAGGATTCCTGCGGGAGAAGTAGAGCAAATGCTCGTATACTAAAAGGTAATGCATCTGCATGACAAGAGTCATTTTAAGCTGCCAATGCAGCCATACTTCTGGCATTTCCTGATTTTTCTTACTTGACTTCACAAGCTTATTTTCAGTGAGGCTTTTTGTCCTTAGCTGCGATGAGGACAAATTCTCGCTCTTTCACAAAGCTGTTTGTTTACACATTGCTATTTTCTCTATTCTGACACTTTGTTCGGTGTTTGCCTTTTGGTATAATGGTATATTTAAAATTCTTCCACTGCTGCTTTGTTTGATGCTGTTGCCTAAATTAGAATAATCTTTTATGTTAGGAGAAATGTTGCAGGACCAGTAACGAAACTTCATTATTGGCTGAAAGCCTGTGAAAAGCTCCAAATAAATGGAACTTGTGTCAACCCCTGAAAGTGGTAGCGATGTGGGGATTAATGTTAAGCTGTGCCAAAAATTTCTGTAGCTGAGTGCCTTGCTTAGAGTTGATTCTCCTTTGAAAAAGTTTTCCTGACCCTGCTCTTCTAGAGTATGGAATCGTCTATGACTCTTCTAGAATTGTTGGTGTTGGGGAAAGAGGCTTCAAAACAGGGCCAGATCCAGCAGGAAACTTCACGTTGATTGCTTATTATCTGAGAAACAGGCCTGGCATGGGATAGGGTATCACTCTTAGAAATTCCTTACTGAGATAAACATCTCTGTGATCTGGCACTGGTGGTGATGGTCATCAGGTCAGATATATAATAAATACCTGCAACCGACTAGAGCATCTCACTGTTGCATTTCTCTTTCAGCAGAACAGAAGGGAGAACATGATGAAACTTGTGCTGTTGCAAGTGAGTCCCTGGCTCCAGAGGGAACAAACTTAAATAACAGAAACCAAAATAAACATTTTTATCCTTCATTACCCCAGCTACGTTCTGAGGAAGAAGAAATAAACAAGCTCGGAAGTCAGATAATTAAACTGACAGAGCAGGCAGTTGCAGAACTGGAAGGGAAAAGAGCAGGCGCTTCTGCAGGGGAGCAGAATGTGGTGGCTGGAGCAAAGCTTAATGGTTCATCTGAGGGAGAGTTCCCACTTTCCAGCCCTGACCCGTCTGACCCCACAGATCCCTCAAACTCCGAGAATGAACAAACAGCTGAAACTGAGGCCCTGAAAGACAATGACGAAACCTCAGAGAGTGACTGTGAAATTCCACACGAAAGAGGGGATGGAAATAGCAGCACCGTGGATGTGGTGCATACTGAGGACCCTGGAAAGTGTGGAGGGCTCAGTGTTACAACTGCACGTACAAATAACAGCTTTGAGGAGCTCCCCGAATCTGAAAACAAGAAACCATCTGATTCTGCTGAAAACTGTGAATATTTGGATAACAGTTTGGCTTGAGGTATGAAATCCAGGCCCTCAAGCATCTCACTGTAATCCTTTTGCAGTGTCTGTGCTGCTGTGAATATGAAGGGTGAAACAGTGTGCCATAGGGTTGATTTTCACATTGAATTGTTTATATTTGTCTAATAAAGGTGTTTTTCTGTTAGTTTTGGCTATAGTGCATCAAAAATCTAAATTACCTAAGGGAAAGAATTAGTGATGAGGTTTAATCATGTTGTTTTTTTGTGATGATTTGAAGTCTCCACGTAGGTTGATATAATTTATATTAATGTAGCAAAGAGACCAATGAAAATTTATCATATTATCACTAGGCTTCTGTAACATGTATGGTCCTAGTCTGGACTGTATTTTAACGGTTAGAAGTGTCTTCCAAGGATGAAAAATTGGGAGTGATAAATTGAGAAGCGTCTTAAGGCTGCAAGCTTTTGCTTGTTTCTCAGACTGCATTCCATTTCTTGTTACATACAGTGACTGGAAGTACATCCTTAGAATAAAATCACTATTCCCTTATAGGAAGTTTCTGAAAACCATCCCTGCATGTATATGGTTCGCTCATTACAAACCTTTATATCTTCTCAGCTGTACAAAATTTTTCCTTTCCTCCCCCAGCTCATCCCATGAAAATGCAAGGAGTTTTTTCACCAGATACCGAGAACCCATTTTAATGAAGCTCTGAAGGAAACATCGTCAGAGAAGCCAGAAGCCTTTCTGTGAGAAACGGCAATGCTGTTCCAAAGCAAGGAGAACAGCAAGAGGAGAACCAGTGATGCCCTGTCCACCTACTGGGCTCGCTCAGTTACTGGAATTGCGTTCCTCAACTTACGGGAGCTGGAACAGCCCTCGGGCTGAGTAACGGGTGGTAGATTTCAGCCTCCTCCGTCTGTGCCCTCCGTTTTAAAGGAATCTGTGTCTTTTCTATTTTCTTATGTTTCGGAATGAAGGATAACTCTTCCTCCTTTCCTCCTCATTTCACCAGTCTATGGTGTGGTAGGTGGTTTATTTGCATTGTTGCCGCTTTCTTAAACTTCTTCCCATGTTGATTTTTAGTCATAGGAAAATGTTCCTATAATAACTGGGGAAAAGGGAGGCTGCTGTGTCATTCCCTAGCTCGCTCCTGATGCTGGAGCTGTGCCACTCTGCTCCTAGGAAGGCAGCAACAAGGGAATACTTAACGTTGAAGTTAGCAGCTGTTGGAGAAGGGGAGGCACGTCCTTCCTCTCTTGTTTGTAGCATAAGGAATAGTCTCTGCAGCTGTGGAGCTTCTATGGGCCAGCAGCCGTCAAGGCAATTTTTCTGCTGGCTTGGGACCTAATTGTCTGTAAATGTTCATTTCTCACTCCTAGAACTTGAAACCAATCAGAGAGAATTAAACCAAATTTAATAAAATACTACTAATAAAAAGGAAAATCCCTCCCAGATTGGGTCCTTCTTTGACAAATAACTGCCAGCTGCAAATTTTTACAGCCCACTTGTCAGCTACTGAATAAACAGAGTTTATATTAGCAATACTGACAAACTCTTCTGTATATGGAAGATGAGCTAGCAGGTGCTGCCATAATCAAGGTGTCAGAGTCCATGAACAGTTTGTATTCAGCAGAAGAAAGGCTGTATGTAAATGATTACATATAAATATAAGGAATGATAGTGGGAAGGTGAAAAATGTGGCTTGTCTCTGTTCTCATGTGTTTTCCTTAGCAGGTGTGTTCACGTAACCCTTTCAGTGTCTGTCTGCAGGCAAGAAAGCCATACTCAGAGTGCTCCTCAAATATGTTTCCTTTCTCTTTAAAGGTAATTTGACATTGCAACATTTCACTGATACTAAGCAGCAGCCCTTAGGAACAAAAACCATCTGTATATTTAAGTGTATTTGAGACATGAAGCAGTAAAAAGTTTTTCTTTTGTTATCCTGATCACCATTTAAGTTCCTCATCACCTGAAAAACCAAGAAGAGTTTAAGTATTTGAAAGATTCTTATGCTGTTCCCATTAATTGTAACTGACTGCATTATTGACTCATTTATATGACAGTACTGACAAGTCGGAAGAGAAATAGCTGCAGAAACTGAAATCTCTGGGAGAATGTGGCAGGATTTTTTTCCTTTAATGCTTGAATGTCACATGAAGTAGCATTTTATTCAAGATGTATTCTTTTCCATCTTTCACACACTAATCCCGCACAGAGCTAAATATCAATGCAGTCAGAACTGAGGCAAGTGAATAAGAAGGTCAAGATTTCATGTAGCTGAGCTCAGAAATATTGAGAGTGCTATATTGTTTCCCTGTCCTGTGTCTTTCCTGACCCACAGTTGTGTGAGTTAGCATTTTGCTCCTGGTCCATTAACAGCCAGTTAATGCTAGTAATTAATGAAAAGCTTGGTGCAAAAATTCAAGCAGGTAGAAGCAGTGCCGGACCAACAGCTTTGCAGTGCCTCATTCCTTGATTCTTTTAGTATGTTTTTTCTGTGAGAACATAGCGATGTACAACCCAACAATTAGGCCATCTTGGTAATTATTCTCAGACCATTCTCCCTTATATGCCAATTTTATATCTTTGCAATCATTAAATTCCAGTGAGATATCCAGATCTCTGGAAACCTAATTTTTAGTGCTGTATCACTGTTGCAATACTGTCCCTCCCCTTTCTGCCCTAGTCAATGTGTATTCTAGCTACATCTTTAGCCTTCTCCCAGGAACATAAGACTTCAAAGCCAGGAGACTTGTAAGACGTCTTTGCTGCACTACATGATAACTAATTGAATATTCTTGTCAGTATCTTCCTTGGATATTGCTTTAATTGATATTGTTGTGCTATTAGAACAATGGGGTTTTTTTTCCCAGTAAATTAATCAGTGTTTTGTTGTGGAATCAATACTACTTCAGGTTTTTTTGGCAAGGAGGGGGAGTTGGGTTTGGGTCTTTTTTTTTTAGACTTGTGTTCCCTTTTTCTAGGACTTTAGAAATGCATATACTGCATCCAGACATACATACAAGTCTTTTTGGTGTTGCGCTCTGGGGAAGCAAACTGGGAAGGGAATGTTGTGGCAGGGGTCTGGAGAAGATGCATTTCACGAACTGATTTTAAGGAGGTTGTCTCACCTAAAAGTGAATTCATGCATTATCTGTGAGAAGGATTTCATCTGAAAGTACGATGTTATGGTTATTTGAAGAATAATGTTCACTGAATTTGTAAAATAAGCGTGTGAAAATGACAGATTAAGAAGCATCCTTTAGAATGCTGCTTCTTTCTAAGTGAGACTATTTTTAAGCATATGGGAATTTGTATAATAAAGACAGTAGAAATTCTTTAATCCATATGAGCTCAGGAATGTATTTCAAAATCTTAACTGAGATTAAGTTGAAAGTCTGCTATGTTTCTAAAAGATAGGATTTTGTTTACCAGCTTCTGTTTTGTAGTTTTACTTTCTAAATTATGCAGTTTAATTTATTTGCAGACCTCTCTTTTGTTGCTGCCTGGATTAACTGCACAACATGGTTCAACTATATTAATAAATTTTGTCATCTTTAATAAAAACATTTCCTAATACGCTTATTCTACCTGCTTGTTTCCTTTTCTCAGTATCAGATGAATGATAGTCATGAGGTAGCCTTTTAATATTTTCAGTGAGTTGTGTTAAATTTAAAAAGTAAAGCTTGACTGAGTGAGAGTTTTAAGTCTGAAAATTATCTGACTTAAATCTTTTCACTGTCACTTCTCCCAGTCCAAATTAACTGATTTACTTCCTACATTTTTGTATGAAGAAACACACTCAGTATTTTTTGGCTTTGAAAATAATATTTATCTCTGATTTGCTAGCTTTATCATCATTGTCTAAGCAGCATTAAAACTTTTGTCTACAACTTAGTTACTGACAGGCACAAACTAGAGGCTTTAGGGAATTTTTGGTGAGGAGTGACGGTAAACTGGAGTGTTTCTTAAGTCTGCTTTCAGATTAACCAGTGTGACTTGGCTGTAGCCATGTGGACAATTTAACATAGTTAAGAAGCTTTTACACATGTTTGAGAATAAAACCTGGAAATACAAGGAGAATAATGTAATGGATCTAAAGTTTAAAGCAGAAATGTCTGTACTTTCCCTTACTTTTACGGGAAGTCCATTATCCGGGTCTTGCAACACAACACCCGACACTGTTGAAAGCACAGAGATCTTTTTGCCTTTCAGATTTCCAGCTAAATACAGGATAGCATCTAATGTGAGGCAATTATTTTTTTTTTCCTTTGGTATCTAACTTAGGATCCCTTAAGAGCCCCTTACAGCACACAGACTCTTTACAGACTATCCTTAGCACTCTTACATGCATTCAACTCCCAAACTGCTTAAAAGGGAATCTTTTTCTCTTCAAGAAAATACATCACAATGCTGAGTTGATGCTGCTTTTATTGATGGGCTTACAGAAAGGAGGCTCTACAAAGTGACAGGCATTTCTTAGAGGAGCAAGCGCATGGAAATGGGAATCCTTTAGCCATATATCTTAGTGGCCAAGGGCACAGCCTAAGGTACTTCATGCTGGAGCCAGCTTGTTGGTCTTCACTTAAGCCTGGTTCTATGTTCGTCTGTTGAGCCCTCTCTTCTTCTTGTCTGTAACCTCAGACAGTTTCTCTTCCCACAAGTTCTTTTTGCATATCCCGATCACACAGCAAGCAAGACGTTTCCCAGCATTTCCATTTTCCAAACTGGCCTTATTGTTGCCCTTGCCCATGTCATCTTCCTGCTCGTGGATCACAACGGATCTGCCCATGACGGAATATGGACCAAACATAGAGGCAGAGAGATTTGTTTTGTATTTCCTGATTTTGCCTTCTTTAGGAAAAAAGTTGCCGAAATCCCCTGGGTGACGGGGGTGATTCACGCTGAAAGGGTTATAGTGTCCTCCTGTAGAATCACAGCCGTTGCTGAGGTCCCCAAGCTCGTGGATGTGTATAGCTCTTCCAGATTGATTATCATCCAATGGAAACCCATCCAAGTAAAAAATGGCTTCTAATCTTCCATGTGAGTAACACTGTCTGAACAAGACTCGTCCAGTCACTTGTGGCTTGTCAGCATCTATTTTGGAGCTGGGCTTCATTTCACAAGTGGCGTAAATCATCCCATCAGTCTCATTACCAGGCAATACCGGGTAGAGCAAATTCTGCCAGAGGTCGTTCACTTTTTTCTCTATGTCGTGAAATGACTCTTTGCTTGGATCAGTTTCTTTGTCTGTCGTGACATCAGAGGCAGACAGGGCAAGCCCAGTGACCAGGGAAAGAACCAAAAGCATCTTGGCAATTCTGAGCCTGCAAAAGGTACAAGAAGCTGCAAAGAATTAAGGGCTTTTCGCAGCAGCGTGGCTGGAGAAAGGCACGCAGCCTGTGGCAGGCAGAGCAAAACAACTGGAGCATGGTCCCAGTGGACTGCTGCTTTCTAAGTCTGTCTAATGAACTGAAACTAAACCAGAATGCATACGTATGTTTAAACACATACAACTGACACACATGACTAAAAGACTAGTGATTTTACATTGTACACTAGATCTCGATCTTAAAAACTGCCTTTTTTTCTCCACAAGAAGCAAGTAAGCCAAAGTGGTGTTTAAGCTATTTTTGAGTTTGTATTGAGACTTTTCTCCTACTACAAATTCCAGCAAGACAGTTTGCCAGGAGGCTTTTTTTGGTCCATCTACTTAACCACTAGTTAGGCATTACAAATGAAAATGAAAAATCCAACCAGTTGATTACCTTGAGAGTTGCTGTAGAACCCCTCAGTAGTAGCTCTTTGCCTCTGCTCCCCTAAACCGAGATGCAATCAGACAGAAAGGCAGCCGCTGTTTGAAGTTGATGCTTAATGGGAACTGCGTGTTTGTGTAAAAGTTAGGTAACGCTGGCTCAGGGGAGGCGTCACCGGGAGAACTGTGGGAGGGAGGGAGGGAGGGAGGGAGGAGGAAAAAGTTTTAGGCATTTTCATTTGGGGCAGGGTGAAGACTTTGTCCTTTCTCGGCTAGTTTGTTACTCTGGCTCTCAGTCCTCACTGACGTTCTACAAATGGGAAAAAAGTTACCAAGCTTTTAAAGCAATCTTCCTTTTGATGACTTCATGTGCTTATTTGAAACAAGTGACCTTCAGCATGCAGTGAGGGGAGAGGAAGGAGCTTTATTAAGGCACAGTTGGGCAGTTTGCTCACTTACGTGCTGGTTGTCACGGAGCTGGTTTGCATTTTTATTTCTTTATTAGCCAAAATTGAAAGTGGTGCTCGAGCAACATAAACTGTTCCACATGGACGTATACTAAAGTGTCTGTGGTTTTAAAACCTGAAGGGCACAATTCAAACTGTCGGATGTTGAGGTACATTTCAGCGATGCTTTTCTGTAAAGTTTTAGGGCTCCTCTCTGCTACCTTACTTGCCAACTTATCTGCTCCACTGAAGTAATTTGTTTTGAGACGGCAGTGATTTCTTTCCAAGGAGAGAAGTAAGCAGTACCAAGGCAGTGCAACATCAAACTGGGGCACAGAGAAATTGTTTCCCAGAAGCTGGCTGGAGCACAGAGAGTTCACACGTGTTTCATCATCCCCTGAACTGAGAAATGCTCTCTTGGGGGCATCGCCCTGCCTGCAGCGCTTCCCGCTGCTGTAGCTGAAATGTGGATTCAGCCGTCACAAGAGCAATTTAACAGGCTGAGATTTCTGTAGAGAGGAAAGAGTAGCTCTTACTACTCAGGAACGATTCTCAACGCAAGAAAATTGCAAAGAAAATCCTTTTTCCCAGTTCACATCTACTGCCAGCTGGGTAAGGAATGGGACTGTCAGCTTCTGGAATGGTAAAATTGTGTGTGTTAATCTTACTGCTATCATATTCTACATCAGATCTGAGATACTTATCTCTGAGCTGATTTTTTTTTTTTCTTTCTGTATGAGGGAGAGTAGGGCTAAAGGGGTATCTGATATTGGATCATGAACCAGGGACTGGAAATACAGAGTTAACTTCTGCTTGGGATATTGGGATATTGGGATATTGAAGGTGCAACTTTAGCCCCCAGATTCAGTTCCTAATCTATGAAATAGGACAACTAGTACTTTTCTTCAGGGCATTTATGAGTTGTTCAGATTACTGTGCTTGTGGGAGCCATGCTGTGTTCAGTGGAAGCCAAAGTTTAACACCGAGAGCCAGGATTCTGTGATTCCGTGACTGCCCATCACCCCAAGCCTAACGCTACTTCCTTTGTAGCCTTTTCCCAAGTTCATTCACTGGCAGTCTCTGAGCTGGGGAAGTCCATACTTGCAACATAGTAATACTATGAAATTGTGTGGTTTAAAAGCATCTGAAAGAAGTAAAATGTTTTATAAACCGGTTTTATAAAAAAAGTTCAGCTAACAACTAGCCAAACGCAAAGGGGGATGGTTTCAGTTTGTAAAATGCAAGAAGCAAGCATCCAGTCCAGGTACTAATAGAAAAACTATTTTCTAGCCTCATAAACCATTTTTAATGGGACATGATGAATGGAAGGAAGTAAGGAGCATCATTCACGGTTTACTCCTTGAGTCACAAGATAGTGGACTCCAAATGAGTTTAACACGTCGACAAGGAAATTCCCAAGCCAGCAGTCAGTGCCCCAAGAAGAGAATTGTAAAGCTTTAGGTGAATTATGAGGCATTTTGAAATAAGAACCAGGGTCAGAATTTTAGTTGGTTTAAATACAATAATGCTGCTGACTTCAGTGGTGTTTGTGCTGTTTTGCACCAGCTGGGATTCTGTCCCTGAAAAAAACCCACTCTGAAAAGCCCAAGGTACTTGCTGCAAAGCTCTTTTTTGATGTACTGCACATGCGGGAACGAAGCAGAAATGCAGAAGGGTGTAAAGGAGATGATCAAAGGGACAGAAAGGACTGCAGCACAGCTAAATGATGTATTTGTAGTGCTCTGCACTTCAGAGAATGAAAAGGAAATACTAGCTGTGGGCTCCTGTCAGAAAGATGTATTTTAAAAAGGAGCAGGGCTGATAACTACAAGAAATGCAATTGCCAGGGTGATTTGGCATTCAGTCTGGGTCTGAAAGATGGAAATCACTAAGTACTAACCAGGTGTATCATTAAAGTCATTGTTACCCACTGCCTGTGTTTCAGTTTTCTGGTTAAAGAGAGGTGCCGAATAATGGGCTAACAGCCTTTAAAGCAGACAGCAGTTCATGGGGGGAAAGCCCACAGTGACCTGACTGTGCAGTTTACTTGTGTTACAATCCCTGTTTAAAAAATTGACCTCTGCTTTTGCCCCAGTTGTACAAGATCGATTGGATCCCGACTTTCATGCAGTGTCCTAAAGGCTCCCAGGCTATGCAAGACAGAGTCGTCAAAACAACTTCTGCAAGGCACTCTAGACCACATAGAAAAACCAGACTTAGCTTTACTCATGGGCTTTGCAATGGACTTTATACCAAGTTTATATATACCATATATACCATGAGCTTTACTCATGGGCTTTGCAATGGACTTTATGCTCTGCTCACAAACTCTCAGTCCATGCTATGACCTTCAGGGTTGGTTGGTGGGTCTGTTTTGCGGTGACATCGTCCTATTGCATCACCCTGCTGTTCGACTTAACATCATTTGATTTGTCCGGCGTAGAGTTAAACATGATGAAGAAACACTGCATAGGAGAGCATCCTTTTGTAGCAAGCAGTAGCCTTGTTTTGCGTCTCCAGCACTTGGATCTGCTCTCAGTGATTTTACGGTAGAATGATTCTCCATAAAAATGACACCCAAGAGAAGGCAGGTTTTACGTCTTCTGCAGTGGGTGATGGAGCTGACTGCTTTTCTCCACGTATGGCTGAGGCTGGAGCAGCTAAAAGAAGGGGGATGTCTGTAGCCTGAGGAAAGCAGAGTCAAGATCTTTGGGAAGGTAATCTGCTCCTTCAGAGCACTTTCTGCCATTTCTGAGTCACGGTCCCAGCCTGGGAGCCAGTTGCGCTGGCGGGTCATCAGGCAGCAGCAGCGGCACCCGGCATTTATTGGTGTGCAGGGGTTAGAGACTGCAGGGCACCAAAACTTCCATGCATTGAGTTTGGCATGGTATCATACATGCTCCATGCAGCAGTTGCCTGTGAGCCCGCACTAGTCTGGTGTGTCCCAGTACCTGCCTGCGGGTCTGCGATTAAAGCCTGCAGCGTTGATTTTCATCTGCAGGGCTATGGGCAGTGCTGCCGAGTCAGGCAGGATTTCGAAAGCAGAAATGCTGCCAGGGTGTCCACAAAGGTGCGATGACTTTGGCTATTTACTGCCTGTCGTGTTATCCGACGCAGCCTGTCAATGTCTGGTGGAGCTCCGGTGCTCACGAGAGAGGGGCCTCATCCTGGCTGAGCGGTGTTAGCCTGCGTGGTAAACACTGGGCTGGCGCTGGAATGCAAGCAGCACCTCATCCCACAGAAATCACAGTGGATGAACTCGTTTGCAATTGCTGTAAGGAGGGGGGGGGGGGGGAAAAAAGAAAAAATCTT